TCTCCCTTTTGTGTCAAACAACTCACTTTTTTTCTTCCCTAGAGTCAGTCTCTCTCTCTCTCTCTTTCTCTCTCTCTCTCTTGCCAGATTTACCTACTACTGAGTATACAGAATAGAACCAGTCTGTGTTTCTTTCCTTCAGGCAGGCGATTTGCAAGCCCTTGCCATATTTCCACCCCCGCCAGCTTACTCAGGTCTTCTGTTACGCACTGGGCCTTGTATAATGCTCCGGTGTCTATGTACAGCCTGGACAACTCTTTTCTGTCCTGTGTGAATGCACCCTGCCCTTGCCACCCTCCTCAGTTTCCAGAAAAAAAGAACAGGCAGATGAATGGAGGGTCAGGAACCCCTAAGCTGGCACTAGGAAGTCTCAATACCATGTCACTTTCTGCCTTTGAATTTACCTTGTTTGCATCTGTACCCGGGAAAATATGTCATTTTATGCTTCATGTTAACCAGGTGGTAGAAGATTGTGTGTATGTTGCGGGAAAATTCTTCCTAATTTTTCACTCCTGCTACCTTCATGGCCAAACCCTATTATTCTGTTGTGGCTGACTAGTGCAGGATTCTGGAGTAATAAATAATTTGTTTCAGTCGCTCTTATATTTTCTGACAAATTCTCAATCAGGTTTTGCTACCCCTGTTAAGGCGTTAATCTGAAGTGTCGCCTGCTGACGCTAGCAACTGTTAGTATAACCTGTTACTGCTTACAGGAAAATCCAAGAGAAAAGACATTAGATTCAATTAAGGGTTCCCCTCCAATTTCTTTTCGTATCGCCAGTGCCAAAGCAGCTTATAGCATAACTTGGCTGCAAAGAAGAAGTGCGGAGACCAGATTTCATTATCATTAAATAAAAAGAGCCATCTGGGAAATCTTGGTGTCCTTAGCAAGCCGTCATTGACTCCTCTCCAGCCTTCTCTTCCAAAGCCAAGGCTTCCTTGGTATTGTTATCATGTGTAAAAACAGCTGGTTTTCCTCCTATGAGGATGCTGTGTGTGCCAAGCACAGAGAGAGCTCAGAAGACAGCCATGTACCAGGCTGCCTCGCAGTGGGGGTGTGCTGGACAGTTATCAGGTGTTTCATCACATTCCCACACAGTCCTCAAAGAAGTTTTGGAAGCATTTTCATCCACTGGGGCATGATAATGAGGAAGGGAGTTCTCCTGGCCTGTAGCGCATATCTCCTCAAATTCGTCATCACCATCAAAAGGTTTTCATTTACACCTTTATGCATCTAGTGCTTTGGAGTAACTGTGCAAGTGGAAAACAGTGGGGGTAAAACACTTTTTGGGTGTGAAAACCAGAGAATTTCCTTGGTTTGCATTGTTTTCTGTATCCCTTTAATGCTGCAACTTGGATAGTTACATGCCTGAAAGGGGGTTACATAGTCCCAGAAATTAAGTTACCAGATGTGATTTTAAAGTATAATATAAAAATAACCTGACATCAGCATTACATCTATGGCAGGAATGCTGTCAGAGAACGCTATGTTAGAAACACTCCCCTTAAATGTGTTTCTCTGTAACTAGTCACTAAAATTGGCAGTGATTTCCTGTGCAATGTAGGATTTCTCTGTTTCGCCTTTAATCTCTAAAATCGGTTTCTAAAATAATGTCACTTGTGGGTGAATGTGGGCCGCCGCTATAGAATTAAATACCCTTCTGTTTCCTTTCAGGGAATAGGCAAGACAATCACCTAGGAACACTGGACCAAATCTCCCTGGAGTTGAGATTTATTAGGGCAGCTCCCTGTGGAGCCAGCAAATCTCAGATCTCTGGCAAATGGACCATGTGCAGACTGAGAAATGTCACCATCGCACGTTCACACATTCACAGAAGCTCTGTCTGATGATCATTTCAGTCTTTGGGGATGAGCCTTTCTTTCCAATGCTAGTAGGTCAGATTGCTGTTATGAACTATGATATCGAGAGCCTTTAAAAATTAGTCTTTAGGAGTCCTGAAATGCTCCCTTCTCTTATAGCCTGCCTCAATTACTTCTTTTGTTTCCTTTTGTCCAACGACTTACATTGAAACCCACAGTAGTTTTTGTGGAAATTACAGTGTCTTCTAAGTCGATGGGAACAACTGTTTTTTTCTCTGCTTCCCCACTGCTCAGAAATCAGAGAGAGCTCAGTTCTCAATGTTTTTGTTTTCTTCTGGAAACTTATGTAATTGAATTAAGAAAGGATTCAGAGGCAATAGATGATAGAAGCAACTTTATGTAGAGAGAAAATGAAAGGTTAAGGTGAGGAGGAAAACTCTATGAGAGTGAAAATAGAACTATCTGGAATTATATCACATGACGTGCCCCTTTCACTGAGTGATCTTTGGCACTTAAGTAAAAATAAAATGGCAGGTTGAGCATTTTTGTCCACCATGTTAGGTTTTCCTAACCCTGACATATTTCCATTATCAGTTTTTCAAAGTGTCAGAAACTCTCCAGAATAGAATGCCTTTCTTTTTCTTCAAAGATACAGTGTGGAAAATATGGGTTTAAGGTAATGAGAATTTCTGTTGGAATGCAAATATATCATCTATGAAGAATAATCTCTTAAACCATTGTTACCGTAGAAAACAATAGTGTATCAGATTGCATTACTTAGCTAACAGAATTCTAGGAGAATGGGATGAAGGAAAGGTCAACTTTGAAGAATGTTCGGTATTCAGTTTATGATGGGTTGACTTGATAAACTGTTATTTTGGACAGGTGAAAGAGAATAAGGGTGATCCTTGGGAATAGAAGCAAGAAGGAAAGGAGAATATACTGAAGATACTTATTTACTAAAAATTTTGCTGAGAGCTTTCTCTTGTCATTTTAGGTGAATGTACTAATGGAAGTCTTAAATCATTCAGCATAGGAAAAACCTGAAAATAGAGAACTAACAGTACAAATTTCATTTTGCTCAACTGGTTGTGCATTTATTCTAAATTAAAAATAGACAGGGCCATCCTTGACTTCTGACCCAGTGAATTGTGTTAGACAATCAGCAGAGACATGAGGGTCTACTCTTCTATTCAAAACTAAGGAGGATTTTGGAAACAATCCTTCTTGTGAATAGAGCAAATAATTTAACTCCTAAGCATCCATCTAAAGCAACAGTAGCTTTCAGTGGTTATTTAATAGATTTACACTTATGAGATAAAGCCAATGTGATGATGTCTGTGATTGTTTGTTGGTCTAATTTAAAGGTTACATGCTTTTGGCATTTCAGTATTTGTCCACAGTCTACAAAATTCTTTACAGCGAGTCTTCAGAGAAAAGGACAGAGGAGAGGTGAAAACAAAAAAAAAGATCAATTTTCGCATGTTATCATCAGGTTTGGTGGCAAAGAATGTTTTTTTGTTTTTTTTGTTTGTTTGTTTTTTAAGAATGTTAAAAAATCTCAGCAAAAGTGTAATTTGGGATAAACAGCAGATTCAATTTAATCATATTTTCTCTTTCCCCAATAGGAGAGATAATGAAGGGTTGACTGTTGACGTTAGTCAATAGACAACACTTATTATTTCTGTGCAGTGAAGTGTTTCATGAGGAAATGCTGAATAGGTAGACAAAGAAAATGAAATATCCTTTGATGAAAAGACTAACACAATACAATCAACAGTAGAAACTGATAAGTTTAAGAACAATCTTCCCACCAAAATCAATAAAAAAGGACTGTGTAGTATTTTATTTTTTAAATAATTTGTCTAGATCATCTGGTTAAATCTGAAGTTATGAAAACACTGTACCTAGAAAGTGATTCTTTTTTGTTATAAATGGTAGCTATACAGTGGTTGAGACAGTATGGACGATGGGAATTTTGTAGTAGGCAAGAAAGATGAGAACACTATTAGTCCTATGAATTGTAGAACTTGTTGCAAGCATGCAATCTTTCAACAAATTCATTGAAAATATTTCAATGAAATCCATACAAAACTCATAAGATGTGTCAACTTGAAAAGTTTCATTGTTAGATTGGTTTTAGATGTCTGGTTTAACTGTAAATTGAAAGAGAATCTTGTTAATTGTACTGTATCTCACCAGACAGACAAAAGCAAAATATGTCGTAATGTAATTGAGGCCTCATTTCTTTCATCCAGGAACTTTGGACTTCCATTTTTTTAATGTTGAAATTGAAATGACTTTCATTAATTCTGTGTGCCTTATAATAACACCATCCAACCCTCACTTAGAAACTGAGACACTTCCAACTTAAAAGCAACATTTAGGCAAATGGTGGAGCAACATTTTTGGGGACTCAAGTATTTAAAGGTACTCTCTTACAATTCTTCAGTGTCTCCTCATAGTAAACATGCAGCTAATTTCCTGTTCTCTCCCAAGTGTAAAATATTAGTCACTCACTTAGCTGTTCCCTTTGGACCAGAGGACCCGTCTCATTTAGATGAGTCATTTCATGAGGCTCTGAAGCAAGTTGGTGGTGAAAGAAACTATTCTAAAAGGGATTTTGTCAGCATGGTTTGCACAGCTAATTGATGATGGCAAATCTTAGTACCTTAAGAAGGCAGATACTTGAGTAAAGTGAGCAAAATGGGGCTTTCAAATCTACTGTGTTCAAAATACACACTTCCTATAATTACTTTTTTTAAAAAAAGACATCATTAAGATTCTGTGTAGAAATAAAACACTTTCTGATTTTTGACTTGACTCTCTGATATAATCTAAAACATCTAGAATATCATGGTACATTTAATGTAAGTAAGTCTTGCTGGACCTATGGCTAAAGAGCCAGGCCCATCCATCCATGAATATTTTATGGCAAATTTTACTATAGAATTAAGATACTTAAAAGAAAAGCAATAATACAAATGTGTGGGCAGAAGATCCTCCTAACTCAGTGTAAAATAGTGATAACATGGAATATCCTAAAATAGGATAACATGAGAAAAGAGAGGGTTTGCTTCCAAGAATTCTCTCTCTCTCTCTCTCTCTCTCTCTCTCTCTCTCTCACACACACACACACACACACACGGATTAAATAGGACCAGAATAGGAGAACTTACTTTTTCCAAAGTATGAGAATCCTTCAATTTCTTCAAGTTCTTTCCCTCTATAACGTCTCTTTCAGACTGTTTTCCTTCTGCAATAGTTCCCTTTAGTAGCCTCTCTACAGTACTGATGCAGACAATCTGATGGCTAAGTAAGGTTGGTCTTTGGTGTTCCCATTCCTATGCTCATTAGCACCGTATTTTCCAGTTTGGCACCATCTTTTCCAGGCTTTCTTGCTGTCTCCACTAATAAGACTTCTTGTTTATTTGTTGCCTTCTTTCAACCCTGACATCTTCACCTCAAGCAGTATTTTGCCCTTCTAACTTCCACCAAAGATGATCTGTTCTGTGCGTTGTCTCAAAGTCTTGATGGGTGACTGAGTCAAAGATATACACTTAATGAATTGTTGGTGCTAAGATTTTAAAAGACAGGTCATAGTGTGTTTCCATGCCTCTAGTTGAAAAGGCCAGTTTGAGCCAATAATTTTTAATCCAAAGGATTGGCTCTAATTGTATTTGAAAGACTCATGGTAGACAGATCTGTAGGTGAATGGGTCTTTGTTTCCTTAAAACATGTCTTCTAGGTGACTACCTACCTCACTTGTCTCAGGCAGGCTCTCCTCCTCTCACCTGGTCCCGTACCTCACATGGAACCCTGCTAGAATGTTTGGAATACATCTTCAGTGCTGGGGGTGGACTCCCCTCTGGTTCTCTATGATAGGAACTCTATTCTGGGGTTTCTCAAGAAGCATGACTCAGTACTAACTGTAACTTTTTTTTTTTTTTTGCCGGAGTTTTGCTCTGTTGCCCAGGCTGGGGTGCAGTGGTGCGATCTTGGCTTACTCTTGCTGCAACCTCCACTTCCTGAGTTCAAGCAATTCTCCTGCCTGAGTCTCCCAAGTAGCTGGGATTACAGGCATAAGCCACCATGCCTGGCTAATTTTTGTAATTTTAATGGAGACAGGGTTTCGCCATGTTGGCCAGGCTGATCTTGAACTCCTGACCTCAGGTCATCCACCCACCTCAGCCTCCCAAAGTGCTGGGATTACAGGCGTGAGTCCGGCTGATTCAGTGCTAACTCTAAGTGGAGGCCATTGTTGACTCTGTAAAATTGGTAGACACTTAAGGCAGTTGCTATTTTTTCCCCTTGACTCAAGTGTTTTACTCTTTCTTTTGTGTTGTTTCACAGTGAAAGCATCATCAGAAGCAGTTGAAGTGACAAATATTGGGTTAACCAGACAGTTTCACGATACATCTCTCCTTTTCCCTTTTTATGGTAGACACCTTTCAGAGTGTGAAGTTGCCATCCACAGAATAGATGGTCTTTTAAAATCTTGGAGAGAAACATCCTTCAACTGCTTTTGAGGGGAATAAACATGACACAGAAAAAGAAAATCTGGGAATGCTTTTTTCTAATGCATTTGACTGTCTGGCTGTCTGACTTCCAAAACAGTTGGAGCTATAAAATGTTAAATTTGGCTTAAGGAAGTCCTCAGTGAGAAATACTACCCCAATTTTTGAAGAGGAAAAAAAAAAGTTCAAACATGTATTAAAAGTTAATAGTGGCAAAATTTATAAGTCTGGGCATGTAGAGATTCAACACTTTCAATCTGCTAATTTGCCAAGGCATAATTTACCCACACAGTTCATAAACACATTTAAATTCTCAGAAAGAAACACGTGGTCTTCTTGAGATTTATAGAAGATGGGCATATCAATTCCTTCCCTTCAGGGAGTTTGCAATCCAGGAGGGGAAAAAAAACCATATACATAATTTGTAAGTGGATGTTAGTGAAAGAGAGTGGACAAATATTGAGGGGCTTAGTTAGGAAGGATGCCTTACATGTCGGGACTTCTTGTATTTAGAGGTGGGTATCCGAATTATTACTTTAACTCTGGGAAGGATTTGGCACCTATACTGAAAGAGCTGACAGCTGTTTCCATGGCTTGAGCTGTTTAGAAAGCTTTAGGCTCTTAGAGCCTATGGATTAATGTAGAAGAATAAGGCTGAAGTGGGTGTTATGAGCGTGGGTTGAAGGAGATGCAGAGAATGTACAGGTCAAGGACACAGCAGTTGGTAACTTACACCCAACTGGAGACAAAAGATCTGACTTTGTTCACGGGAGAGTTTAGAGGCATTTGAAGAGAATGAGGAACTTCTTCCCCTATTACTAAAACAATGTATATTTATTGTAAAAAGCTTGGGAACTGTAAAAAAAGCAAAAATTATAGTAAAAATTGCTTCTAATCTCCCCACTCAACACAGCCACTGTTAATATGTTCATATAGATCTCATATCTTTTTTCTGCCTATAATTACCTCATTTGTCTTTAATAAGAATGGCATAATTCCTATTAAATATACTTTTTGAACCTGCTCCTTTCATTTCATGATATATCCTCAATATCTGGAAAGATATTTCTGGAAAAGAGCTATTTAAGATTGGCTGAAGTAGAGAAGGGACTGGAGAGAGGGACGTCAGTAACAAAGGAACAGAAAATCAAAGACTTATTAAAGGGTCCTCAGTCCATGGGGAATATAACTGTCATGGGTGAACCTCATTCATTTAAAAGCCTTTAATAGATCAAAGTTCTGGAGGCTGGTAAAAGAATTCAGAATCAAAGACCTGGTTTAGGTCCCAGGTCCTTCCCTTACAAGCTAAGTCCCCTCAACAAATTCCTAAACATCTCTGGGCCTTAGATTCAAGAAAATTAACTGAGCATTTGATCACAGGTCAGAATCCTCGATGCTTTCATACACATATTCGGATTATCCTAGCAATAACCTTGCTGGGGAGGGACTGTTGACTGCATTCTGTAGGTTAATAACTAGAAGCTCCTAAAGGTTAATTTTCTCAACAAATGGCAGAGCTGACACCCAAACCTGGTTGCAGGTCTCTTCCCACAGCCTGCTGGCACTTATGTCATCCCTTGTACAGAAAACGGGGCTAAGATTACATATCCTCCCCACCTCACAGTGTGTTGTGAGATACAGGGCCTATTGTATATAACACTTTTTGTAAACTGTTAAGCACAGAAGACAAATTTTAGCTATCTCAAAGAAATCTCATTTCAAACCATCCACTTGAATGCATATTTTGATCTTGAATCGACCCTTCAGACATAGTGCCTTGCGTATTCCCAGAAAGGTGCATTTAGGTTATCTGAGTATGGGCTTCATCTGACAAAATAGTTTCTCCTATTTCATTTCTCCTGTTTTTCCCAAGGGCTCTACATTGCTACTCAGTAAAAGCCAGTGTCAGTCTGCATACTGATGGCAGACCTAAAATCTCAGCAAGTTATGACACAGAGCCTGCTGCCATGTGGACAGAATAAACCACATTCCACACCATGTCCAGACACTTTGAAGACATGATTTTTAAAAGATCATTTTAGATAAATAAAACTTGAGCTAGCAAGAGAGGCTCTTTCCAGATGTCCACCCACGAAACCCCAGGTGCAAGTGAATCAGCAGACGGTGTCCTCTCATCCGAGACAGTGCAGGATCCATGTGTCCACAGGCAGCCAGGCAGTGGCTGAGCTCGCAGCCATGCTTCCTTCAGATGTGGCCGCGCTGGGGCTGATTCAGGGAGAAACACTGCCTCGTACTGAGTCATGAGCCTATCCTGGAACTTCTCTGGGCTTTGCTTGGATGACTTGCCCGGCGTCCATGGTCCAGACCTTCCCCAGCAGGCAGCAGAGTCCAATGTGGCAGAACAGGTAGTGTGCTGGGGTGATGGTGGTTGGTAGTGGGAGGGTGCATCACTTTTCAGAAGATTCAGTCAATTCAGAAAAGTTTTGGAGAAAAATTTAAAATTCATCAGACTTGCTCCAAAGCAGATACAAATCTGAAGAAGATTTATTAAAGGCCCTTCATCTCTGTTTGAACCTGATACCTTTCCTTGGGCAGGATAGTGACTTAGAAAGTGAGAGCCAGGCTCATTCATGGTGGGTGATTATTTTATTCTCATGAAATTTTTCTTGAAAATTTGATGTATACTGACTGACTCCCAATCTATTGAACCTGCCCACTAATTAAGGTCAATCAGTCTTCCTTTTGGTGAATATTTAGCGAGTTTTTCAATGTCAGATAATGTGGTAATCATTGGCACACAGTAAATAAGAGATATAGACCCTGCCTTCATGTAGAGGAGAAGTATTGTTTAAGTTTTCAATTGCTATGTCACAAATTACCTCAATCTTAGTGGCTTAAACCAGTCCACCTTTATGATCTCACAGTTCTGTAGGACAGAAGTCTGGACATGGCCTAACTGGGTCCTCGGGCCAGGGCCTGGGGGGAATGAGAACAGGCAGTGACCAGGATTGCTGTCTCATTGGAGGCATTGAGTTTTCCTCCAAACTAGGGAGGAGTTTGACAAACTTCCTTGAAGAGAACTTTGCTTGCTGGCAGAAATTCTCCTTACAGCTATAAAACTCATGCCAGCTTGCTTTTAAAGGTTAGCAGGAGAGTGTCTCTGACTTCAGGGAACATCTAGGCCCCCCTTAAAGGCTCACCTGATTAGGTCAGGCCCACCAAAGATAATATCCTTTTGGTTAACTCAAGGTAAACTGATTAGGAGCCTTAATTACATCTGCAAAATCCTTAATCATAGGAGTGACAGTCCATCCTATTTACAGGTCTTACCCATCAAAGGGAGGGCATTGATTATACAGCACTCGTATAGCAGGGGATGGGAATCTTATGAGCCATCTTAGAATTCTATCACAGATATTTAAAAAGTTATTACAAAAAAATTACTAAACAATTAGAACTGTGCAAAACTTTATGAAGGAGAATTATAGGATACCACAGGTACTATCTGAGAGGTTGAGGGAGACTTTCTGAGACCAGTGAGCTTGCACTAGCAAGCTGCTAGGATGAGAATGGGGATGGGGAGAGGAGAGAAGCAGAGCAAGTGAGATAACATAAAGGGAGTTAACTGATGTAGCCCTAAAATGAATCAAAGTGAAATCATGCCCTGGCTTGCGCTATTGTACCCAAATATTTAATTTCTGAAAGTAAAGTTGTGCATTTTCCATGTGAAAGGAAGCAAGCAACAGTTCTAAAGGTCTCCCCTTTCGACTTCCTTTGCTGGAGACCTTAGGGGTATCTGTCTATTTATAGCAGAGTTTGAGCTTCTCCCATAACAGGGAGATAAGGGCAACAAAAGGCTAATTTTGTTAGCTCCTCATTGGATGAGAGCTACCCAATTCCAAAAGGAGGTAGAATTGGGTGGCTCTCACCCATATTTTGCAAGCTGGCAAAAATATCCATAAGTGTGAGGTGTTGGGTGGTTCCATTACTTACAACATCAAATTAGAAAATTTAAGCATCATTTTTCCATTTGTCTTTGAACACTAACACAGCCCTTTGGTCAGAGTAAATGGAGAAAAGACATTTTTTTTAAAAAAGCATTCAAGCTGGAAATCGGAATGTTCTTGTCAGCACTTTGAGAAAACTAACAGATGGGGAACTTCATGCCCACCGCTTAATAAATATGTGCTGATTTTGGCAAAGACTTGTGACATCCCACAGGGTCTCTGATCTACCCCTTTCCCTCTCATCCCAGCAGCCAAATTCAACTCGGTTGCCAAAATGGGAAACAAAACACGTGAGTGTCTAAAATGTATGCCAAATTTAAAAATGGAGAGAGTTTTCATTTGATCAAATTATAGGTCTCTTTCTCACCAAATTCCCTTTTTGTACTTTAGCATAAGTTTTAATTAAATGTCTTCTATTGGAAATACTCCGGAATGATGAGTTGGAATGCAAATGTTTGAAATCTGAAATACAAAAAGTACAGCCACTAACCAGCTTTACCAGCAACGCCAATGGAATAGAAACATACTGTAGAGTTCATTAAATTCCCCTTCCTCTTGAATAAACATTACATTTTAAAGGCTGTAGTTTAAACCTATTATAGATACACATGTCACTATCTGGAAGAATACATTAAATAGATGAATCACCTTTACCAAGTCACTCCCATATAAAGAAAGACTTCTAGACTGGGAGAAAGATAAAATGAACCTGGAATAATAAAATATTTTTTTCTTTCTCCTTGTGTTTCATAATATTTCTTTTCTCTTTTGCTGTTTAGCCCGGAACTTTACTTCCCACTGTCTGCTTCTTAAACTCATGGGATGGAAACAAGCAGGATCTCAGGAACAGCTGAGGATGGCCTGCCTTCTTCTAGTTGTGTTCTCAATGACTAATTCATAAACACAAGGTTGTGAGTCACCCCCAAATTCCCTAAGACCCTGATGACCATGTTAGGTAGGCAAGAGGAAAGACTCTGAGACCCAGTTCAAATGCAGAAGGTGGTTCTGCTGTTTAGCAGCTATTTTATTTATTCTTTTTTTTTTTTTTTTTTTGAGACAGAGTCTTGCTCTGTCGCCCAGGCTGGAGTGCAGTGGCCGGATCTCAGCTCACTGCAAGCTCCGCCTCCCGGCTTTATGCCATTCTCCTGCCTCAGCCTCCCGAGCAGCTGGGACTACAGGTGCCCACCACCTCGCCTGGCTAGGTTTTTTTTTTTTTGTATTTTTTAGTAGAGACGGGGTTTCACCGTGTTGGCCAGGATGGTCTCGATCTCCTGACCTCGTGATCCGCCCATCTCAGCCTCCCAAAGTGCTGGGATTACAGGCTTGAGCCACCGTGCCCGGCCTTATTCTTTATTTATTTATTTATTTATTTTTCTGACTTTTTTAAAACACAGTTTATAACAGGCGCTGTTTCCTCCCGTTGACATTTCAGGCACGCTGTTGTTCTTTCTTCTGTCAATGGATCCCATTGTTTTTGTAACTCACCTGACTGTAACAGTTTTATAACAGTTTTTTGGGTTTGTTGTCAGAATTTTCTCCCAGAGTTTCTAAGAATTAGGTCCACAAATCTGTATTTTTAACAAACTTACCTGAGAGATTCTAATCATGAGGCAAATATGAGAAACATTCTACAAGGGCACATTCAATTGAGCAAATTTCCATCCTTTTATTCCCCCAAAACAGGGAAACTGTAAAGAGGAAAAGATTTCGAACAGGGAAACTTATGGCCCAACAGTAAATTTAGAAGTAGGGAGTACCACCTGCTTGCTTTGTCTGATGGGCATCTCTGAATCACAAACCTTTGAACCAACTCGTCTTCCAGTATAATTCACTTCTGAACTATGGAATAACCTTCTGAAAACATCTCTGTTCATTCATTCATCCATTCATTCATTTGACATTTATTGAACATCTGCTATGAGTCAGGCACTGTTCTTGGCACAAAGAATAGAGTGGTGAACACAGATCTGGTCCCTACCCTTAAGGGGGCTGAAATTTAGTCTTTTTTCAAATCATAGTCCTCATGTATAACCAACCAAAATATCATATGTTCTTTTGGATAATACCCTGCAAAGCATAATGCGAAATCACAAATGTACACTAGTCGCCCCTCTCAGACATTGGTTGAATGCTCACAATGCATCAGATTCCACTGTAGATATATGGGATACGTTGATGAGCACATCAGGCAAAGCTCTGACAGTCTAGATGGTGTGAGACACTAAGCAATAAACCTAACAAACTATATAATGCATTATAAGGTGTTGGTACTGCAAAAGAAACAAATTCAAGCAAGAAAACATCAGTTGAGCATGCGGGAAGGGTAGTCATGGCAAGGTTCATTGTTAAGGTGAGATTTCAACAGAAACTCAAGGAAGGTGAAATATTTTGCTCCCTGGGGTCTGAGAGAATAGCATGTGAGGCAGAGCAAACTGCTGGAAGAAAGGCCCTAAGCAGGGAGAATGCTTGGAGTATTTGAGGAGCAGAAAGAGCGGGGACATGGAAGTAACAAGGGCAGGGCTAGGGTGAGGTCAGTCAGGGCCTTGTAGCTGTTTTGAGTGAAATAGGGCGGGGAGGCATTTCAAGGTTTCAAGCAAAGGGTAACATGATGTGACATGTTGTAAGAGGGTCACTACGGTCACTGTGTTGAGCAGTCTGTAAAGGGACGAGTATGAAGAATTCCAGATACACACTTTGGACGGCATTTGGCAGTATCTAGATCTGGTAAAGCTAAAGATGTACACACCCTAGAACCCAGCAATTTGAGGCACCAAGAGAGAACCTTCTCAATGTATGCAAGGATATATGTAAGGATGTTCACTGTGGCACTGTTAGCAGTAACAAAAATAAAAATCCACATAGCCTGAATGTCCATCAACAGGAGAATGATTCAAGAAATTGTGGCTCACTTATACCGTGGAACACTATCCAGTAATTAAAAGGAATGAACTAGAGTTACATTATCAAGGTGAATACCTTCACCAAATATAAAAACAGAGCAACAAAAATCAAGTTGCAGAAGGATAAACACAATATGACGTCGAGTTTAAAATACCCCAAATAGGCTGTGTGGTGTTTTATAGCCAGTGGCTCACACCTGTAATCCAAGCTTTGGGAGGCCTAGGTGGGAGGATCACTTGAAGCCATGAGTTCAAGACCAGACTGGGCAACATGACAAGACCCTGTCTCTACAAAAAATAAAAATGATTAGTCTGGTGTGGTGTTGCGAGCTTTTAGTCCCAGCTACTGGAGAGGGTGAGTGAGGCAGGAGGATCCGTTGAGCCCAGGATTTCAAGTCTGCAGTAAGTTATGACTGTACCATTGCATTCCAACCTGGGTGACAGAGAGAGAGATCTTGTCTCTAAAAAACTAACATAAAATACCATGATATAACTTTC